TCAAGAATCAATGCATCACATTCAAGATCCAACATCACCACACATGACCGGACCTTGGCAACGGTTTCAAGAATCGAAGTCCTCTTTGCATATGATCGGCTGGACTTGTCATATAGATTCTCAAATGAAGATACGATAAGCTGAAAGACCTCCTGCATGCATATACAATTTAAGAAGTTTAAATTTTCTTTAAAATATGGAATATGTGTAGACAAGACAGATGAAGAATCAGTATGACCTAGATCAATTCCAGGTACCTTCATTTGGTCATCATCATAAGGTGCATCAGGTGCAGTTATTCTTGTTATCTCACTGATGCAAGATGCAACAGCAACTTTGACATCAGGATCTGAATGCCTTAAAAGCTGCTCAGCAACCAATGCTTTCTGTGACGGAGAAAGTGCAGTTTGCATTGACTTGGTAGGTGATTGCTCTACCTTTGATAGACAACTCTCGACACTCTAACATCACCAGGAGAAAAAAAAACAAAATATTAGCCAAAGCTAGTGACCTTGAGAACAACAAAATAAATCAATAATATTTAATTATCCGATTGCAAAAATTTTGAAACTAAGGGCCATAACCATTCATTGATGACAGTTAAGATGTGTAGTGCCCTTCATTACGAGGTTAAGAGTGGTGAAGATTTCAAGTGACATGACTACTCTCCCGTTTTTTCACTACTCTTTATAAGTCTTTGACACCCAAATCCTACATATGGGATTCAGAATACAATCATGTGTTATGTATTAATGTTAGTTGTTGAGCCTGGAACAACTCGTCAATGACAAAAATAAGGTTCTCCTTCAATGGAAGGATAAAAAAGGCAAATAAAACCAATTGAAACCAAAGAGACAAGAATTAAACACCACCGAAACGAGAAGAATGTCATTCTTCCACCTAAGCCAAATATGTTCAAAAACATTAAATTAACTTTATCTGAAACCAGAGAAAGAAAAATTTAACATCGACAAGTTTCTATGAAAATTACATTAACCGGAACCTGGAAAGAAAGAATATACAACAGTAACAAACTTTAAAATAAATAACAACAAATAACTGGCCTTCATTTTAAGAAAGGTACCAATAATAAATTCACTTAGAAAACATGATGCATACAGGGAGAATAAACAGCAATGCAAACCTCAATTAATACAAGCTCCTTTTCAGGAAAGTGTAATGCAAAGTAACCAAAAATATTTACATTACATTCTTTCCAAATATCTACTAGGGACAAGCATAGGACAAATATCCAAAACGAAATGACTTTCCTAAGCATTAAATGAAACTTGAAATGATCGGCCTTCAATTTGATTTCTTAGATATGGTGAACATGAATAACGTATCTTCATATTCATATTGGGAGATCATTTGTATTTCCTTTGCTGTATATGATAAAAACTAACCTTAAAATTATCTAAAACCTTCATCATTCTTAAAAATTAAAACTTAATTGGTAGTACATTAAATGCATAAACCATATTATCATCCCACTGTGCAGGAAAACACAAAAATATGCATCATTTACTTTTACTTTGGCTAGGCATAATTGACATTAACGTACCACTTTTAGACCTGTGTTATGTTCACACTGAGGGATAAAAAGAGTAAAATACTAAGAAGCCTAAAAGGAAAGTGAGCCAGAGACACAAACCTCGCGTCCTCAACCTCATGAAAACACAACATTACGGCATAGAAAGGCTACCTAGGACTTCATGCATGGCATATGAAAGTATTGTTCGTGCCCAAAGCTTAAAGAGGTGAAGAATAACCGATAATACAAGCAATACCAATCACATGAACATGCAGCGCAAGATTAAAATGGGAAAAAGACTTTAGAACGGATTGTCAAAAAATAAAACCGTGGAAATTGTATAAAACCACTTAATTCCCACATCAGAAGCTTCCATAACAATAAAATTCGAAATTCATTTCACTAAATTGACAACTAACCACACAGAAAGGAGTATAATAAAATAAAAACGCGAAATTAACCGTTGAACAAAAACCACTGAAAGGCACAAACTTCACCGTTCGAAAAGAAAACGAAATAGAAAACCATAACCATTTGAAAGGGAATTGGGGCTTACGTCGAGAAGAGGAAGGAGGTCTTCGACGGAAGACGGAGGTTCCAAGAGCTGATTCCCAGCTTCCGTAAGCTGGGCTTCGAGCTCCTTGTCTGCCGACGCCATTGTTGCGCGCTTTCCTATTTCTTGCTTTAGATCCTTGACAATCTCGCAGCTCTAGCCCTAATTTCACACCATTGAAGGCCTAGAACCACACGAATCGATGAGAGAGAGCGATCGGAAAAGTTTAGGAGAGAGAAAGCTAGGGTTTTCCCCTTCTTTCTTTTTAGAGAGAGAAAGTGAATGAGAGTTTTCGATATTGTTTTTGCATATAAAAATTATTTATGTCGTTCATTCACTCGCTCGCTCTCGTTTATATTTTTTCTTTTTTATACCGTCTCTCTCTCTCTCTCTCTCATCCCATACTACTCTCGGAGCCTCAGTCGTTGTTTGTGCTAAATAAATAAAATTTTATTTTCTGCCCTTAAAAAGAGAATCCAGCGAAGCTTGGCTCGGAATCCGCGGGATTGTGAACTGGAGTTCAATTTGAGATTTCAAATCCGCCTTTGGATCTTCTTGGTGGGGCCCACCTAGTGGTCCTTCAACGGCTAGATTTATCGCTGCTTTTCCCTTTTCTTGGGAAGACTTCTTTTTTTTTTCCCCCAAAACTGAATAAAATGTCTAGAGTCTCCAGTCTTCCCGTGCTGTCTGTGTGATTTGTTTAATAAAATACGTATAGTGATTTGTATAATAAAATATGTATAGTGATTTGTATAATAAAATATGTATAGTGATTTTATATTGTAAAAGGAATTTTTTAAAAAATTATATATATATATATATATACAGGGCTATATATATGATGAGCTTAAAGGCCAGTTTAGCATTGATGTGTTATGAAAATAATCGCTATTAGATTTGATGTAAAATAAAATAGTTTGGCGTTTGGTAAATTCTTTGTTAAAAGTGAAGTTGATACAATGATCAGTTTCTGAGTGTTTGGTTTTTTTTTTGTGAAAATGTTGTGAGCTATGTATAATGACTAAAAAGGGCATTATGTTAAAATGACTTTTTTGTTCAAAAGTTTGATAAAAGGGAAAACACTTTCACTCTCACTTATATATATATTCTATTAAATATGTTTTCATCACACCCTTAAAAATTATTTTAATTATAAATTAAATAAAGTATTATGTTAAAAATTAAATATTTGTATCCAAATGCTCTACACTAATGTTTCAAGTTAAAACAATATATTCCATTAATAATAAATATTCTGGCAAAGAACCAAAGAAACAAAAACAATAACAGAAAAAAAAATTACAAATAAAAATCAATATCAACAACTATTTAAGTTAAAACCCTATAATTAAAGAGAAATAGTGTGTTTCAATTGAGAAGAAATAAACATAATATGCCTCTTACCTGAGTCTTATGGCTTCTCAGGAGTGTGCTTCAATTGAATCAATAAGAAAAAATAATATGAAGAATAAAAGAGATTAAAGAGAACGAGAACTCTATGGAAAATATGGCGTGAAGAAACAAAGGGATGCGAAGGAGAAAACGCACGAATAGAAGAGATTGTGTGAAATAAATTGGGGTATTTTCAGAAGTTCGTAAATTTCATTAAATCCAACGCACCTCATTAGTTATTTTCCCTTATAACTTTATCTCACAACAATTTTTAACAATATATTTTATCATAGTTTACCAAATAGATTGGACTTCAAAAAAAAAAAAAAAAAAAAAAAAAAAAAAAAAAAATAATCTCATCAAATAACCAATCCCAAAAACAGGCAAACTAAGTATCATATATAAATGACTTGTGATTTAATTGTCATTATTAAATTGCATTTGGTAATTTTTTTAATCGATAAGTATAAAATAAAGATAATATTCCTTTGGTATCCATAGGCCATGGAATCTTATCATATTAGGCAAATTCAAGTTAAGAAAAGCTCTCTTTGGCAAAACAAAACAAGAAGTAAAGAAAATCTCTCAAATTTTAAGCGGGAAAAAGACAGGAATGATTACTTCACTTACAAAAGTAATAAAAAAGGATGGTGTAATTTAGGAGAATCGAGTAACTGCTTTTTAAATACCTTCCTTTTCTTTTCTTTTTCTAATATATATATATATATATTAATTATGGAAACTTTTTTTATTACAAAAATATTTATAAGCGATTTTTTTGTACAAGTTGATAGTTTAAACTACTATAACGTTCATAAAAGATATCAAACTATGGTTTACAGAATTGAGTATATTACATTGGCCAATTGATCTAAACCATATTTATATAAATATTCTTTTATAAAATTGGACCATGCATATGGAACAACACACATTATAGAAGGCAGGAAGATTTTAATCGATTTTTCTTTCCTAATATATTATGAGGATTTAGAGAAAAAAATAGTTGGTTGATTAGTCGTCAATTCAACTAAAATTAGTTGACCATGAATCCAATCATGTTGCATTTATGACAGTGTGTCATGGTGGGTTGGGGGAAATTTTAAAATTTTAGCCTTTTAGTAACTATTTTGAATTTTTATTTATTTAAAGTTTTTAGTTGTGCTTGTCAAGTAACATGGAGGGATCGGTGAGTGGTACTTATCGTTGGGCGAAGAGGAGGTTTGTTTGACCAATAAGAATGGGGAATTATTTTTCATAAATAAATAAAATTTGTTCAAAGGGCATTTTTAACAAATCACTCATGTGCGATCACACATCAACGGCTGAAAACCACTCATGTGCGACTGCAAAACAGCGGCTACTGCCTTGTGGGCACCGATTCACGGGATTGGGTCGAACCCGGCCCATTAATAAGCCCAATTATGCTTGCATCAATCTTTTTTCACTGGCTTCCTCAAGAATCCGAAGCCTTTTGGGCCGCAACGCGGTTTTACATCATACGTCCAGTAACAACCTTCCATGTCAATGCAATGCCAACGTGTCACGCTCCCATTCGCTGAGCCCATGTCACGGCAGCAGCGCTCTCCAACCAGAAAAAAGACTTATGCATTCACAAATTACAGGCAGAGAGAGAGAGAGAGTCACAGTCACAGATCGAAACCCCAAAAGGTCAAATCCCTAAATTCACATTTCCAAATCCCAAATCCAGATTTCCAGTTCCCTTTTGTAGGGGAGTCTCACCGTGGCTTCTTCAGGTTCGCCGAGTTTGAGTCGAAGAAAACCCTCCAACTCTTCTGGTCCGTCGTCTTCCACAGAGCCGGGTCGGGTCGTGGGGCGAGTCACAGTACCCAGGCGGGCTTCGGAGCCTGAGTTTCCCTTCTGGCAACAGAACTGGTTCATAGCATTACTCTTTGTTATGGCGATGGGTTTCTTCTGCCTTGCTCTGTTCCTCATTTTCGGCCTCGATCTCGATACAGGCTACGCTGCTTCCGCTTCTACCTCCGAGGGCGTCGAGGTTCATATCCACCTCCATTTCCTATTTGATTTGATATTTTTTGGGAATTTTGTATAATTGAATTGCGATTGGGCAGGTGACGTACGGGACTGTGCTGAAGCTGATGCACGAGAAGACTAAGTTTCGCCTGCATTCCCACGACGTGCCGTATGGTTCTGGTAGTGGTCAGCAGTCTGTCACTGGTTTTCCCAACGTTGACGATGCAAATAGCTACTGGGTATGGTGTTCTCTTCTGTTTCTCCTCGTCTCTGTTTCTTGGGTGTGGTTTGGTTACAGTTACTGAACTGGGTTTTCGTTTGCAGATTGTTAGACCTGAGCTCGAAACAGCTGCCAAGCAAGGTGATAGCATTCCAAGTGGGACAATTATCAGGTTGCAGCACATGAAGACTAGGAAATGGTTGCACAGCCATTTGCATGCCTCCCCCATAACTGGCAACCAAGAGGTTTCAAAACTCTTCTTTTTCTTGCCAACCTTTCGTAATGGTCATTGGTCAAGCATTATTTATTTTTGTTTTGTATGCTTGTACTTGTGTTTGTCGGGCTTACTTGTAATTATGAATTGGTGACCCACCGAAAATTAGAATCTTTGCGACCTGATTTTGTATATGGCTTTTCCAGTATTATTTGTAGACAGTTTGAATCTGTTTCCTTTTGTATAATCAAGTGTGGGGCCATTATTACGCCTGAAATGACTTGCATAATCCATTCTGTGTAGGTGAGCTGCTTTGGGGGAGAATCTGAATCTGATACTGGTGATCACTGGAGGTGAGAAGCGAATTGATTTGTTCATAGGAGGTTAGGCTGTATTTTTCATCTTCATTGCTCATGAATTGGGTTGGTGTGGTATTTTGTAGGGTTATGATTGAAGGGAGTGGGAAGACCTGGAAGCAGGATCAGAGGGTTCGAATTCAGCATGTCGACACAGGTGTTTATCTACATAGTCATGACAAGAAGTACACCCGCATTGCTGGGGGACAGCAGGAGGTAAGAATAATGAAACTAAACTCCATATCTCCACCAGTAAATGAAAACAAAATTTCTAAGTTCGTTGGTCACTTGCGTTTTTTTTGGGGTTTCTGTTGGTGCATTGAGTCTGGATTGTTAATAATGGTGCTTATTACTGATTATGTCCTATACTCTTAATGATTTGTTTTACTTTTACACCTATCTCTGGCTTTTACATTTACGCATTTTCTTGATTTGGTGGTGTACTAGACATTCCAATAATTCTGTAAAGTCTGTATGTTGTAAACTAAATAGCTTGAATTTGATTGCTTTGAGTGTGTTCCGCGGCTTAACAAAGAAATTTTACAATAAGTTATTGCAATGTTAGTGTTAAGCTGGGCAAGAAATGTTATTTCAAATATAATTGTCATATCTATGGAAAACAATTTTACTTTTTCTTTTCTTTTCTTTTTTCCCCATTTATGTAACAATAGTGGAGATAAACTTTTTGATAAATCATTGTTGAAGTTGTGCTAAATATTATCCTTTCACTATGATCTAGGTTTGCGCTGTCAGAGAAAAACGCGCGGACAATGTTTGGTTGGCAGCCGAAGGCGTGTACCTCCCGGTCGCTGAAACCAAGTAGATTCTAGTAATTTAGGATGAATCACTCTATAAAAACAGGTACACGGGTTTTGGAATTTTTTGGTGGCTGGTACCCGGTCCCATAATAGTTGTAGCAGATGTTGTAATGAAGGAAGATATGGTTTAACAATACAATGTTATCTGATATTGTTAATGTTGTTTTCCTCTGGAACTTTCCCCTGTATCTTGTGCTATATCGTTTTAGTGATTAAGCAATGATTAAGTGGTCAGCTTTAGCTGAATTAATGAACTGTGACATCACACAATTGAAGATGTCCATGAACGCCATCTAAGCTGCAATGGGCAGAACACTAGTTTTCGTTGATTACTTTTGGTTGTGGGCTTGTTAATTGAAATGAGAGTTTCAACTGGAATGCATTTCTAGCCCACATGAGTATTCTCATTTGGGCAATTCACTTTCAAAGCAAAAGCCCGTTGAGCTCAAAAGGGACGGGGATGCCATAACGAGGAGTTTAAAGTGAGGAGGCTATTTGACGAGGTCAATCTCACCATCAACAAATGTAAAGAAATTATGGGACTTAAATGTTTTAAATGTTTTGATTGTGGAATCGGTCTCCTCAAATAGCCTCCTCACTTTAAACTCTTCATTGTAATCTCTCCCCAAAAGGGAAGACTCGAAGAAGGCTTCTTTTTACAGGACCATAAGTATGATACGGGCTCTTTGCTGAAGTCACTGGGTACCCATTTATCATCCCTAGCCGTATTCCATTCCACTAGTGCAGAAATTGACCTTTTCTGGGCTGGGGTACCCCTACGGCTTTTGGGTAATTGTCCTCCATATCAGTGGTCCTTCCTCGTACCTAACTCTGCTGCAAGCTTGTCGTCCAACTTGCAACTTTGAATACGAATTAATTGATCATATTTCTCACTCAACAGATATAATTCATCAGATTTCGCATAAACAGAAACATTAATCCGACCAGAATATCTATAGTTTCACTGAAACGGATAAAGAATTAGAGATCTGAGAAACTGATGAGGAATAATGAAGCTTCATGTAAAGTGAGGTTGCATTGCATAAGGCTGCCATATGAAGACATGAAGTACTGGTAGGGGACGCATCATTGTGTGTAGCTTGATCGAGGAAAAAGCCTAAATATCCTTTTTATCCTCTTAACCTTTTCCAACTCATAGATTCCTCTCTTTCTTTTTCCCTTTCCTTTCCCAACCAAGTCAAGACCTGGCTAGTTATTTTAACGCCTTCACAGAAAGAGGAAAAAGCTTAGCTATGAGCATGCATGAAGGACCTAAGGAAGCTGCTGGCTCCCGATTAGTGTTTTTCCGTGTGTTCTTCCAAATGTTCTTAGAAAAGCAGGACATAAAAGAGAAAGTTGTTTTTTTTTTTTTTTTTTTTTTTTTTTTTTTTTTTGTAAAAAAATCATCAAAAAAAATAGATAAATTGTAAAAAAAATCAAAGAACAAAGTGTTTACTGACTTGGAAATTCTTTTGATCTTCAAAGGCATTTAAAAGTTACCATGATCTCATTGGGGCTAACGTGGATATTATTGTCCCCCAACATTTATAATTTTCACTGTTAGCACGTACATTAATCATTAAGAAAGAAAAGAAAAAAAGGTTAACTTTTGGTGGATAGTGGCTTAAACCCTTCAACATTAATACTTGGAAAAGAGATTCCCACTAATATTTTATTGGGACATTTTGGAAAATGCCAAAGAAGAGAGTAATATTTTGAAAAGAAGCCAAAATAGACAAAAATACCCTTATTTATTTTTGAGTTTCTTAAAGAATCCTTTACATTTACATGTCTTTTGTTTGAAAGTTGATGAGTTTTTCTGTCTTCTTTGAAAAAGTTTTCCAAAAATGAAAGTTTTTTGTGTGGCTAAAACCTAAATTGACTTATTTTATCAACATAAAAGTGGGAAAATCAGTTTAATTTGAATGGACCAACAGTACTACACATCTATTCTTTGGTGGGATATTAAAAAGGCTTTAATTTGTTTGGTTGGGTAGTTGCAAAAACACACACCACAATTGTTTGCCTATAAATTATTAGAGAAACCCTCCAACAATATAGCAGTTTTGGCCATAATCTCAGCCAGCCACCTCCATAACTCACCTTTTTCACATTTTTTGGAAAAACAAAGCCCTAAAAGGGCCACGTGCACGTCACCACTGTCCTTCATATACAATAAATCTTGTGAACTACAGAGTCGGATATTATTTCCAAGTCGGTGGAAACACAAGGCAGAAGCAAAGCAAAGACTTTTTCGCATGCACGTGCCCTCCCTCACCCCCCTGAGATCCGAATATTACCTTCAATCTCAATAACAACATTGGACGGCTGCATTTAATCCGCACCTTACTTGCTTTAAGATCTCATATGTGAAAAAGCAACCTAAAATGTTTGACCTAAAAGCTACGCTTACAAGTTACAACTCAACTCAAACACAGCTTTAGCTTCAACAAAACCTGTTTTTACTCCTACACCCGAAGTCCTAGGTTTTATTTTGCCGTTCACCAATATCGATGGTATATAAAACTTAGAAGAAAAAAATCATATACTTAACTTAGACTGGTTTTGTGTTAACTTATTATTGCCTACAAACCTAATGGCATTCAAAATTAAATCTTGACTTACACACAGCTACACGGGCATTTGCACTTTGGTGCATAAAACAATTGAATCAGACCATACTGGAGCGTCCAGAAGCTGCAGGGCCTAGCCTTCGACCTACCCCACTTCCATAGCGATAAGTAAATAAAATATGATTGTATCTCAATACAAGTGGACCGAGTGTCATTAGGTTAAAAATAAAAAATACCAGTGGATAATAAAAAGCATGTAGCCTTTTGAAGAAAGACAGATCTCCAAATTCTATTGCACTGTGGTAAATGTTGCATCCCTCTGTGCGTGTGGCAGACTAAGCAGAGTAGTAGATAGCTAAATTTACTGTACACAACCAAAGTTTTGCACATTTCAAATAACAAAACAAAAGCTCCAGAGGTAAATATCAGATTCACACTACAAATATATACACACACACACAGAGGCAAGTCCAGTTACTCAATCATATGGCAAAATATCTAAATTTACATAGATTACAAAATGCCCCATACCCCACCATGAAGTTTATGTGATAATACATGTACCTCAGTGGGGACAGAAACGTCTATGACCTTAACTGATGACGAACAGCTCAGCTCTGTAAGCCACATCGGCTTTGCTCTGGTTCTTCTCTTCAGATCTGTAAATTGTTAATAGAAATTGGTAATTAATACAATATTAAACTAATGAAGAAGTGAAGGAGATTAAGACATTAATCAATTCATTAATGTTCTCATTGCAAGTTGTATAATCAATTCATTAATTATTCGACTCTGTAAATTTCCAGGTGAGACTTTCAGACCAAGAATACTAAAAACAACCTCTTCCAAAGGAAAGATTCCCAGATCGTGAAGGTCCTGAATTGTTCCTATTTCATGCTAAGTAGAAAATGACCGACACCTCTTCCGGTAGACGTGGCTGTGGGTTACATTAGCAATTTTAATTGTGGGTAGGGCCAAAGAGTTGGACAAAATTGTACTAATGGGTGGAAAGTGACCCTATGATTGTGGGGATACGCAGACCAAATATTTTATATGACTAAAGCATCCCTTGTATTTTTCCATTTTTGCATTCTATGCCACTGACAAGAAATTCTCTCTAGAAATTGTGTTACGGTTTCAGCTTCTTTCATATTCAGGTCAAAACGGATAACTAAGAGCAAACTGGAATTTAACCAAACAAAATTCCTGCTACTAGATTATAATTTATGATAACTATTATAAATTTTAACAAGTTGATCTACTAACAAAAACTACGAAAGCCCAGAAGCTGGAAATATGATATGAGTATGAAAAGAAGACTACTAACTTCAGAAATTCTTCACTTCAATTCAATCTCCACATCTTCATTGGCAGCTCTAATTCCTCAAAATGGCAAGCTCTTTGAAGTTGAACTTGAGGTGAGTGCCTTGAAATGATCTGATGGGACGAAATCTTGCGGCAAATTGGCCCTCTTCACGATCCTCCTCATGTTGTTTTGCAAACTCTGTTGCACTAATTGCTTCACGGCTTTCTTCTCCTCACTCATCATGTCCTCCTCCTCTTCCAAACACTCCTTGGAACCCATGTTCGGGTTTGTAGAAGACGACGAAGAGCCACAAATGGGAGCAGAAACCGCTGCACCCATACTCCCACCAAAGCTTTGTGAAACCTGCTTTCCTTTATCCACTCTCAAACACTCCAAGATCCTTGAGGCTCTCTTCTGTGCCAAAGTGCTACCCAAAAGCGTTAATTCAAGCAATGCCGATACCATTCCCGCCTCGATCATGGCTTGCCTATCCCCAAATGCCTTGTGTGCCATCACCATCAAAATGTAAGATGCCTTCTCTTGACACCCCGGCGAATCGTTCCAATTCAATGCATCAACCAATATTGGGAATGCATCCCGGACACTGCTAATTGCTTTTCGACCTTCGGGGACAGATACCATGTTGCTTAGAATTGCAAGGATTCTTTCACTCACTTCCATGTCTCCAAGCGAATTCAGGAAAAATGGGATCAAATCAGTTTCCAATATGAACGAAATATTGGATGGGAAGATTGAAAGGTTGTAGAGAGCTCTCAAGGCATCTTGCTTAGCTTGAGGGCTACTTGTGTTGTCCAAATTCTTGAGGGTTTTAACCAAGAAGGGTATGGCACCTGAAGCTCCAATGATGGGTTTATTCGAATCCAATGCGCTTAAGCCGAGGAAATTTGCAATTATAGCTTCTGAGACTGATGGGTCTGGAGGATTTGGGGATTCAATGAGTTTAAGCATTTTGTGAACAGCCCCTGCTTGGAGAATAGCAGCCTTGTTTCTGCAAAAGGGGTGGTCCAAAAAGCATTGATAAATTTTTTTAATTCAGAAACAAATGCAACAATGGGTCAATAAAAGTGATTCAAATGCAATTAAAATGGGAATAAAGCAACTTAACAGAATGCGAAATAACAAAAAAAATAAAAAATAAAAAAATAAACTGGAGAATGCAATCAACACTATGAGATGTCCATGACAGAGTTCATCATTTCACAAACATGCAACACTGTGAGCCTGAAGATAAGAACAGTTGGATTTAATATAAATAATTTATTTTCCAAGTAAAAAACAGTGGAAAAACTACTCGGCCTTGAAAATGACGGAAGAATAAAACATCATGGCATGAAAATGACAGAAAACAAAAACGCGAATTAAAACCAAAACCAATTGCCCAATTAATCAAAGCTAAGAAGCTGGTTAAACAAAAATGCATGCAAGAAGAACAATCACAGAGAGAAATTAAACCGGAAAAATGACATAAAAACAAAATTAGATCAGAGAAGGCTCAAAATCCGAAGAACGTGTTAACCCACACATCGTTGCCGATCCCGAGATTGAGCAGAGCGTAGAGCGATGCGATCTGAGCAACGAAGTCGTCGGAGTCGAGCAAGGCGACGAGCGGAGGAATGACTCCGAGCATCGCCAGCGTCGCTCTGGCTTCCACATCTTCCTTGGCGAGCAATCTCACTCTGCTCGCCGCCTCTTTCCTCTTCGCCGAGTCGTCTTCGACCTGCAATTCCTTCGCCACGCGCTTCAGCTCATCCAAAGCCTCCACCTTCTTCTTGGTCACGGCGTCGTTCTCCGACTCCGAGAACTCCGCGAGGTTCAGAAGATCCGAGAGCTTCTCGGACTTCGGTTTTACCTTTTCCAGCTCTTTTTCTTTGGAGTGCGACTGCGACGTCGTTTTCGTCGCGGTTGATCTAGTGGCAGTGGCCGGGGGAGTGGGAGGACTGGACGGAGCGACGTTGTTTTTGTCGTTGTGGTGACGATAGCGGGAGCTGCCGCCGCAACTGACGGCGAAGAAGATTTTCCGGCGGAATGAAGCACCGGAGAAGGATGACCAGAGACGGAAGTGACCGCCTCCTCCGGCGGACGTGGTGGTGGTAGCGCGGTCTAGCACGACGGATCCGATGTCGTTTCGGTGACACTTGGCCATATCGTTTCTCTGCTCGTTTTTTAGTGAACTACATTGCACGGAGAAACGAGACTAAATGCGAGAAAGAGAGAGAGAGAGAGAGAGAGAGTATTTGTTAATTGTAAATCTGGTTTTCTTTGTTGTTTATTTATAACGAGCTCTCAGTCCCAGAGACTCTGCTTCTTACTGAACACTGACACCAGAGACACAGGGAGTGATATTTAAGGCCCTGTTTGTATCTTTCTAAATTTATCGAATTATAAAAAAATTTCACTAAAAATAATGTCATTTTCAAATTACACAATAATAGTTTTCTACACCTTAAAAATAAAAAAATAAAAAACAGAAGGTAATTTGTTAACTTAAATATTGCATTACAAGATTATCCATGACTAACCTTTTACGCCAGGCGTCAAAGTTTAGTTACGGACTTTGAATACAAAATCTACTCAAATTATAGATAATCTACTTTTTACGCCAAATAATGCTTCAAATTTTAAATGCATAATCTAGTTCACATTATAAATAGCAGACTTTTGATGTTGCACTTCCAAAATTTTACTTGGTACATTGAATCTAAAATCTACTCTAATTTATGAATGACATACATTTTACGCCACATATCAAAACCTCGTCGCTCACTTTAAATCTTGAATTTACCCTAAACTGAATGAGTGACTTTTCACGACACGTATCAAAATTTAGTTCACGGGTTTGAACCTCCAACGTACTCTAGCAGAGATGATATGGTTATATTACAAATTTGTGAATTATGGACAAGTCCTTGATCTGCTGGTGTGCAACACAAACAGTACCTGTCCTTATTTTTCAAGACAATAGAACGTGCAAATTTACAACATTTTCCCTTTGGTTATTTGATCTGAAAATAAATAAATAATTTATAGAAAGAAAAAGGCTTGTTGAGAAATGAAAAAGCCATTTCTAAAATTTGTGTGGGAAGAGGGACTAGGGAGTTAGAAAACTGAGAAAGGGACTTGCAAAGCAAGCCATTAGTTTTCGCATAGGGAAATGCGTAATTTTGCACCATTACTACAGTGTAGTATACTGACACCGTCGCTACCGTCCATTGAATTATAGATGGAAGAAGCTTCGTGTGGGGCCAGCCGTGTCGTTTTGTTTGGGGCCTAGATGTGGGGTGTACGATAAGTAAGGTACAGATGAGTGTATGGTATAATTGCAAAGTAGTAGTTCACGTCAAAGTGTGTGCAAAGAAAGCTTCTCTGGTTCTCTGTCTGGCTGGAATGCTGCCCAAGTCCAAGTCCAAGCAATAAAAATTTGACTTTTGGGGTTGGAGTTGGACTATTCATGGGTTCTAATTTGGGCTTAGTGTGAGACTGTTTCAGGTAAACAAATCTTTTGTAATTTGGATTTCATTTCCAAAATTTATAGTTTCTTACTTTATAATCTTATCCCACTATATTGTTGAGGCATTTTCCAATGCATGCATGCAACAATAAGTTTATTTGTGTACTCAATTAGTATTGTATTTTGATAATCCGAATTGTTATTATTTTCAAAATTTTAAGCATAAATAAAGACATCTAGTTGTGATTAAATGAATAGACGAACACTAAAATAAGTATAATTTCATTAAATAGTTAACTGTTACTCAATTTATGCGTGCGTGTGTGTGTTTTTTTCACAAAAATTATCTATGAAATATAAGCTGAAATAAGCTATGTAAATAGAAAATAAATAAATAAAAACCGTGCCATCTGTTATATATAGTTGACTTCAAGTGAAAAAAAGTTGGCAGATTCACACTGATCAAGTTTACACTTGAAATATAATGATTAGATAGAGAGGATGCATATTTGGTAGGTTCATAATTCATTTGGATTGTCAAAGGAGGCTATCCTAATCAAGCATGATTAATTATTGGTTGTTAGGGTTGCATGCACATTGGTCAGTGATGATAATTGTCACATTTGATTAATCTCGTGACTAATAATGATAATTTTACGATAAGAAGAGACTGAGGATGAGTGGCGTGGGTTATGAACTGATTGAGAGCAATTGGAAAAGAAGACAACAAAAACAAATGCCAATTAGACATTAAAACGACAAATTATGATATGACTTTTGCATCCTAACATAGAGTCGTTCAATTATGAGTTTAGCACTTTAACACGAAGAAAATTAGCATCCATTATAATGAACATAGTTAAGCTTTTGCTTTGTGAATTATTATGAGTTTGTTTATGGGTAGGGTACCACCTACGAAATGTCAAATCATACAAATTTTGGATTTTTAGTCTCAAAACATTCTCTAATTGGTAAAGAGGACGACAATGATATCATTATTTTGGGCACATGCACGTCCAGTAGTGTAGCTATAATATTTATATCGACATTTTTCATGCATGGGCCCAGTCCAGTGATATAATTTTGATATTTTTCCTCCATCTGTTTGTTTCCCTACAATCTTTATCCCATACTAGGATTCGAATCGAAGTATTGCTCTTTATTCTTCTGTCACAAAACTTGATTTGGATGCAAATTTTCAATTGAATGGGACGGGATATGCGGGCAATCACCCATGTCGGAAAAACTTTTTTTCTTTCTTCGATTGCTCTTAACCACTTGAACTGAGACACATGCCCCTTACCCCGTAAAAGAATAACTTATTTGTTAATCTTTTGTTTGGTTTGAAATTAGAGTAGAGATTTAAACAGAACTCTCCACAATACGTAACTCAGGCAGACAGGCAGGCGGGCACTTCTTGTCTTAACATCTGAAAGCTAAACGAACCAACACCAACCTTTTTGTTAAGCTTTATTTACAATTCGAAGCACCGGAATCAGTCGAGATCAGTCATTCGCAACCATGGCATCGACAGCAGACGTGTTCTCCAGTTTCTTGATGCTCAACCTCTTATGGGGAGTAAGGTCTTTGGCAGATGGGGGCACCTCAGCATCAACAATAAGAGAGTCTTCCTCATTGAAATCCCCTCTCAAGACTCCCATTGCAATTTCATTCTCAACCAGCTGTTGTATCACCCGCTTAACTGGTCTTGCACCATAGTTTGGATCAAAGCCCAATGTACCCAGAAGCTCCACAGCTTCCTTTGTGTAGTAAAGATCAATTTTCTTCTGCTTCAGCCTGTCTTTCAACCTGTTCATCTGCAATCGGAATGGGCATTGAAGCATTTAACCACCATCTCTAATACGACTCAGTAAGAAAGAAAAAGAAAAGAAAAAGACATTTAGATAATATCTAAAAGAATGAAAGGTGGAAGATCGATTACTCACTTGTAGCTCAACAATACTACGGATCTCTTTTGAGTCCAAAGGCTGGAAGACAATATACTCGTCAATTCGATTCATAAATTCAGGGCGGAAAGTTTGTCTCGCCAACTCAACAACTTGTCTTTTCATAACTTCATAAACTGCATCCTTGCTATCATGTGTATTACGAAGAGTTTCAAGTATGTAGTGGGAGCCCAGGTTTGAGGTCATTATCACCACACAATTGGTGAAGCTTACAGTTCGCCCTTGAGAGTCGGTGATCCTCCCATCATCCAACAATTGTAATAAAATGTTGAAGACATCATGATGTGCTTTCTCTATTTCATCAAACAGCACTACACAATAAGGTCTTCGACGAACCACTTCTGTTAGCTGCCCACCTTCTTCGTAACCAACATAACCAGGTGGTGCCCCAACCAAGCGTGAAACTGCATGTTTTTCCATGTACTCACTCATATCAATTCTGACAAGAGCATTTTCCGTGTTAAAGAGATAGCCAGCCAATGCCTTTGCCAGCTCTGTTTTCCCCACACCAGTTGGACCCATGAACATAAAACTTGCTATTGGTCGGTTTGGGTCAGATAGGCCTGCCCTTGAACGTCGAATTGCATCAGCCACTGATTTCACAGCTATATCCTGACCGACCACCCTCTTATGAAGAACCTGTTCTAGCATAACTAGCTTGTCTCTTTCTGATTGTTGAAGGTTTGACAAGGGTATACCAGTCCATTTGCTTACAATTTCAGCAATATCAAGATCGGTGACTTCTTCTCGAAGCAAAGCATTTCCAGACTTCTGATACTCAGCAAGGTTTTTCTCTGCCTCTTCTAACTGGCGTTGTAGGGATGTTAGAGTTCCATATTTGAGCTCCGCAGCACGATTTAGGTCATAGTCACGTTCAGCAGCTTCCATCTCTTGGTTTACTCTATCAATCTACAAAAATTAGAAACATATGAATCAGCAACTCAAGGGATGAGGAAACTTGCCAACAACAATAATGGACGAATACCTCTTCTTTAACTGATCGTATCCGAGTCATGAGAGCCTTCTCATGATCCCATTGTTCGGTTAATTCTTTTTGTTTCTGCTTAAGCAATGCCAGATCATTTTCCAGCTTGCTTAACCTTTCTTTCGATGATTTATCAGTGTCATTTTGCACAGACAGCTTCTCCATCTCCAACTTCAACACAGCTCTGTCTACCTCATCCAATTCAGTGGGCTTAGAAGTGATCTCCATCTTCAGCTTTGCAGCAGCTTCATCAACGAGATCAATGGCTGAAACAGAGAAGATAAGTTACAAAACTCATAGTTGACAAAAGAGAAAACAGAAGAATTTAATGGTAAGAGTCTTCAAGGGTGTGGGTGTGACTAAGCTTTTCATTTTTTCATCTTTATAGAATCAGATATCCTAGTCCAATACTAAACGTGAAGTCAAATTCACAAGAGGGAACTATAAAGAAAATTCTAGTTCTTCCATCCCTTCTTTTCTTTATTACGTTGGCTCCAAGCCCTCTATTTGTATTGGTTGAAATCCACCGAATGGGAGTTCCAAAAAAATGAGTGCATCTTATTCCTGTACTTGCAAGATCTATCAAACACAAATTTTATTTTGAGAAAACAAATCCTACCACCCCTCCTCATCCCCTCCTGCCACAAGAGCCTATAAGGTGGAAATTATTATTACCTTTGTCAGGCAAAAAACGTTCTGTAATGTATCTGTCAGAAAGAACAGCTGCAGAAACAAGGGCACTATCTGATATTTTCACACCATGATGCAGCTCATAGCGCTCACGCAAGCCACGAAGAATGGATATTGTGTCTTCAACAGATGGCTGGCCACAAAATACTTGTTGAAATCTACGCTCAAGTGCAGGATCCTTCTCAACGTATTTTCTGTACTCATTTAATGTAGTTGCTCCTATACAGCGAAGCTCACCTCTCCCAAGCATTGGCTTCAACAAGTTCCCAGCATCCATCGCACCACTTGTAGCCCCTACAAGAATCATTAACAAGGACATCAGGAGAAAACACAACAGACCCACAATAAAAAGACTCTAGTTTTGCACAAACCTGCTCCTACAACAGTATGAATCTCATCAATGAATAATATAATCTGTCCATTTGAAGCAGTAACTTCCTTCAACACAGCTTTCAACCTTTCCTCAAAATCCCCACGAAACTTGGCACCAGCAACCAATGAACCCATATCTAAGGAAATCAACTGTAGAATAGAAGACAAAATGCAAAACTATGTATAAATTTGAAGATCAAGGAAAAAAATATTTTGAAACCAAGGTTTCGTTTCTACATAAAACTATTATTGTCTTATAGTTTTTAGAATTGATAATTAAAACTAAAACGAATGACTACCTTTCTATTCAATAGCGGTTCTGGAACATCCCCACGCACAATTCGTTGAGCTAATCTGCAGATCATACAAAAGTTATAGTAAAACAATACAACAGAACAATGCATAGGATGCACAATGAATAATCTGGCAATTTATGCCACCAGGCAAATTGTTCAACATCAGTCTTTATGTGATAATAGCAATGCTTGAGAATACCAGAACATCTGGGTGGTTGATTGAACAAACTTACTTCCTAAAGTGTTATGGTAGTGCCCAGAAGGCATGTAAAAGATGCATCAAGTCAACGAATTTACTCATATAAATTAAATAAACTAAGGCATATATCTTAGAACTTTTGGAAACAGTCATAACAAAGTACAGCAAAGCAATGCACTTGAATGAACATACCCTTCAGCAATCGCAGTTTTTCCCACACCAGGCTCACCAATAATAACAGGATTGTTTTTCGTTCTCCTGGACAATATCTGGATACACCGTCGTATTTCATCATCTCGGCCTATAACAGGATCAAGTTTGCCACGCCTAGCGAGTTCAGTTAAGTCATTCCCGTATTTATCCAAGGCCTCATATTTTCCTTCGGGATCTATACACAATATGGATTATATTAATTAAAGCATATAAAAATAGCAAGTGCACAGAATTCTAAAATATCAACTTAAGGTGGAGCACATCATACTTTGATCAGTGACTCTCTGACTTCCACGAACATCTTTAACAGCCTCCTTCAAATCCTTATCACTAAGCTGGAGATTTCTAAACAATTGCTGCCCAAACCGAGTATCTGACTGGAACGCCAACACAAGGTGCTCCACCGACACGAAATCATCTCCCATGTCTTTCTTCTGCCGCCGGGCATTGTCCAACACACCACTCAGATGTGAGCCCATAATAGGCCCAGAGGTGGCACCCGTCACCTGCCACAACACAATGTTCAAATTGTTCACTACCTCCTACAAACAAAGCCATTACATATTTGATATGATGCAAAATGAGATATGGGTTTTTATCAAAGCACCTTGGGTTGCTGAGCAATGAAGTTATCAGTAGCTTGAAGAACCGTGGTGTTGTCTAAGCCAGCCTTGGTGAAAATTCTCCTGGCCAAACCATCCTTTTGCTCCAAAAGCGCTTTCATTAAGTGCTCAGTTTCCACAACCTGTTGCTTGCTAACTCGGGCGGCATCAACAGCACCCACAATGCCCTCCCAAGCCATCTCAGTGTACTCATTCGGATTAGCCTGATATTTCAATCAACAACAAAAATTAGCCTCCAATTATTTTCATATAATTCAATACTTGATGAAATTAAATGAGAAACTTTCAGAGCTTGTGACCTGAGAAGAGGTTGTGGCTGAGTAGAATTTGGGAGTGGAAGAGTGAAAGCTGCGAGTGAAGGCGGTTGCCAAATACTTGACTGAAACGACATTACTGCTCTCTGAAACGACGTTGGGGCGAGAGAAGGGAGCGACGGAGCTACCGAAGGCGCGAGCGGAGGCTGCCACTGCGATTGCACGAGACTGAGAGAGAGAGTTTCTAGGGGCTTTAGAGGCGTTCAGGGACGCCAAAGCCAAAGTCGACTGGGTGAGTCTTGTGGCTCTGCGGCTCGCCATTTGACCATGAAATGAACCCAAATAATCACAAAAGCAAGCTCAATGGTATAGGGTTTTGCTATAAAATAGTCTCTTCAGAGCGAGTGAAAAAGACTGAAGAAAACTTGGGGAAGAGGCAATAGAAGGTTGTAGAAGAAGCATCTGGAGGTGTCCAGTGTCGTCTAGTTTTCCTTCTTCAAATTTTTTTTCCATTTGCCCGCGTTTGTTTGCCCAAAAAAACATTGATCCAAACCCAATATAAGTCCATCCAACAGACCCAATTATTTAAGTCGTGGGCCAATTCGATAAATTGGATCGAGTTCGAGTATATTGGATTGAGTGAATTCTCCATTAAAGAGAGTTGTGCTTGAGTGAATCGCTATGCCTGATTGGCGGCTGGTGGCCGTTGATACGTGAGAGGTCTACATTGCATCAACAGTTGAAGTGTTTGTGCGAGTGCCTGCACTTGGCATATC